TCGGCCGTTACTTTATCGCCATCATAATATAGGGCATCATTGCCCGTTTGGTCTGCGATACAAAATAAAATTTCAACAACAACAACAACAACTGATTGTAGTGGACTGGACATGTTATCAAGGAAGTCGTAAACCTACGACTTCCTGATGCAAATACGGGTACTTGTAGAACATGCACAACTGTATGGAATTTGATGCGAACAGGAGGATTATTCCAATTTTATGCGATTCGTATGCAATTTGCCTCGAATTATGCGATTGTTGGATTTTGGTAGGAATTATGCGAAAAATTGTGCTAGCATGATCTGTCAAGGCCTAGCGCGCAATTCACGAGACACAGGTACATGTACATGTATACATGTACGCAGCGAAAACCAAGAATTAAAGCTCAACACTGCACGAGTGCCATCTGAGCTGGCTCAGGGCTTGTGATCGAGACAACACGAATGCTGCGGGGTGAGTAATCCGCACATCAAAAAAAGCGTCTTGTTGCCGCGACCAAAAACCCAGAGCTCGCACATCCAGACGAGCCTCCGCATTCTTTTAAGGGATCGCCCTCCCGGCAAATCCTCGTTGCTGCAGGAAAGTAGCCTCGGCTCCGTCTCCACATCCACTATGCCAGCCTCCCGCAGCAAGCTTGCCACAAGGTCCCGTACCTCATTGTGCCGGGCGATTGTGTACCCGCCAGTGGCACACGTGAGCGCATGGCTCGGACTGAGAGAAGCACCACACACGCAATTATCTGGCAATCCACCCAGTCTCCGACCATACTGGATGCACAGAGCATCCCGGAAATCTGATTTTTTCAGTATTGTGCCTTCTTGCCACGTAGGAGCTACGATTAGCCAGGACGATAGGCCCTTTTTCAGCAGCTACTTCGATCAGGAATTGCTGCTCATGTCCCAGGCTCTCCATCATCATCATTATCATCATTTGGAACAGCCTCTTGTACGGGCAAGCAAAAAGGCAATTCATCAAAATTCAATTAGAATGAAAAGAGAGGAAAATGAACACAAGGTGCATCATCATGTGACCAAGCCGCTTTTACGGGCAACAATATTATGAATATAAAACGCAAGGTATTGTAAGAGCAATTTTCTGAAAATAATGTTAAAACACGAAATAATTTATAGAAATGCATTATCACACCGTAGCCATTTATAGGCAAATTCCAATACAAGGCAATAGGAAAACGAGGATGAACCTTTTAACCCAAAGAAAAGACAAAAGATGTCAACAATAGAACTACAAATATAAAAAACAAACATCAGGTCATAAAAACTACTTTAAAACATAACCAAATGACAGCAAAGCGTGGAGAATGAGATTGACTTACAAAACAAAAGTAGTCCTACTATGCTTACAAAACAGAATCTACCTACACCACTAAGGAAGAAACATTAAATGATTGCAGTCTCACAAACACCGGCCTCTATCTAACGACCCATCAAACAATAACTCCTGAAATTCTTGACTGACTTTTTCTGGTAGGAGCTACGGCAGCCGCGAAAACAGGTCACTGCCCAACGGAGTAAAGTGAACGAGAGCAGGCACCGCAATCGACCCATAACCAGCGAGTAGGCCAAGTCACTGTGTTTATCGACATACTGGGCTGCAAGACACTTGAGAAAGCGGTCTGCCTCCCGGCCACACATGCCATTCGTGGCGAAAACCAACGGGGTGAATGTGCCTCGGTCTATATTCACAACACGCGCTCCGTATTCCCGCTTTTTCATGCCTTCATGCTTTTGGAGATGGCGCTGGACTTCTGGACGCGACAGCAGGTTTGGCTTTGGGTGAGTCACCCGAACATCAAAAAAAGCCTCCTGCTGCGTGGACCAGAAACCCCGCGCCCTCACATCGAGGCGAGCTTCGGATTTCCTGTTGGCTGTACGATGGGGAAGATCCTCCCCATCAAATAGCGATAGCACCGGCTCCACCTCCACGTCAGGCAATACCTCCGACAGTACACCCGCCAGCAAATCGCGAACATTATTATGGCGTGCGATGGTGTAGCCGCCAGTAGGACAAGCCATTGCATGCTCAGTGCTTAGAGTTGCTCCACAAACACAAGTCTCAGGGAGGCCATCCAGCTCCAAACCGTATCGGAAGCAGAGAGCATCCCGGAAATCAGATTTATTGAGGATGGTTACTGGCTGATTGTATGACGGTTGGGCGGTCATCCAGCTGGAGGTGCCTTTCTCACCCGCTGTTTCTAACAGTAGCCGCTGGCACGGAGACAGTCCAGGGCCAATCTCTGCCTGCACACCACGCGAAATCTGGTCCCGCTGTGCTCTCACCCGGCGCAGCCCAGCACGCACCGCAGCAACAGCCTCAGCGACACCACACGGACCACTAGGATTAGTCTCGCCAGGCTCTTCGACGCCTAATCCCACGGCAACAGGCCCCGCACGCAGCGCAGAGAACGATCCGGCATCAGGTAGTTGGTCAAGATCAGGCGGAGGCGGACCCGCAGGTGGAGGCGACAACGCGCCAGCATAATCAGGCGGAGGCGGTCGCACATGTGGCTGGTCTAGACCAGGCGGAGGCAGCGACGCACGAGCACAGTCAGGCAGAGGCGGTTCCGCAGGCGGAGGCAGTGACACGGCAGCACGGTCAGGCGAAGGCAGTCGCACCGGCGGTTGGTCTAAGCCAGGTACGGGCCGTCCCACAGGTGGAGGCAGCGACGCACCAGCACAGTCAGGCGGAGGTGGCCGCGGAGGCCGAGGCAGCGACGCATCAGCACAGGCAGGCAAAGGCGACCCAGCAGGCAGAGGCGGTGACATATTAGCACAATGATGCGGGGGTAGTCCCATAGGTGGTTGGTTAATATCACGCAGAGGCGGTCCCGCAGGCGGAGGCAGTGATGCACCAGCACAGTCAGGCGAAGGCGATGATAGCGCAAGCTGAACCAGAGGCTCAGTGGCACTGACAGAGGCCTGATGTTCCCCAGCCGCCGTCTTCGACAATATGGGGACGGCGAGGCCCCCATGCCGGACAGGCAAAGCCATTAGCCGACGTTGGTGGCTGGCCTGCGCAATTCCATGACCCAGCAAAGCCGGCAGGAAATGGTCACTGAGGATCTCATCCAAGGCCTCCAAAACGCCTGTCGAGAACGGCATTGAGCGCAAGTGGTAAGTCCACCGTGATGACAGGGCCTTGGAGAAGACGGTATACGCCGCGTGAGGTTGAGTCTGGGCGATCTCACACAAGGTGCGCAGGTCACCAGCCCATCTATCCGCCAACTGCCCCATATAAGAGCGGCAGAAATCTTCTGACCCTAGGGCGCCCCCGAGGAATCGGCCGCCAGCGGCGGTAATCTGGATGCCACTGTCGAAGAAGATTTCTCTGGCCCTATCCAGATGCTCTGGCTTTGTGATCAGAACAGTTTTGGACGCGTTCGGGTAGTAACCATAACCAGGGCCAATGGCCCGGATTTCATCCCAGTAATTCCGAAGGCGAGCCAGAAGACCTGCACCCGAGTCATCATCCGCGAACCAAGATTGGACAACACTGGGGCATGTCGCAGACAGGCGCCTGACCAGTGGCATGATCGCCACAGCATAGGCTGCCATAGCCAGTGGGTCGCCCTGAGCCGTGCCTTCACGCGATTCGATTTCACCTCCACCAGACACAAACAGGCGGGAAACTGATCCATACGTGTTACGAAACACCGTTGCAAGCGGGGGGCAGAGACGCGGAATGTTGTGTAGCGCAGCCTGCCTATTCAATGCATTAAATGCATTGGAGGCGTCCACAAGCAAGACACCCTCAACCCCCGGGCCAGCGAACAGACGGGACATTGTGTGTACGGCGGCTTCGCAGGCAGATGGAACGCCCACACAGAGTTGGACAGGAGCTGTTACTCTCAGCACATCACTTTCCACTACTGACATCACGGCACGACCAATGATACGCCGGTACACTTCGCCCACAGCGATGAGGCGCACGCCAGGTTTCTTATCGAGGGGTATTAGGCGAGCGGATGTAAATCCAATCATCGCGCAACCGGCAAGGCGCTCGGTACATATGCACCACCCCGCGGCAGCAAGGGATGAACACAAACGCCTTGACGAGGCGTCATAGCACGTCAGCATTCGGCACCATGCCTCAGCGTCCAGGCCAGACGGTCCAGAGGAACCCTGCATGCCTCGGCCGATTTTCTTTATTAGCTCAGGGGTTATTTGTTGAAAGATGACCTGGTTGACAATCTCGGGATCACCCGGCAAGAGAGCCGAGGCAGGCGGTGTAGCAGATGGCGGATGTTTCTTCAACAGGGCGTCACGGACCGTCTCTCCAGGTGCATCATCATCATCATCATCATCATCATCATCATCATCATCATCATCATCATGAGAAAAGCCTCTTTTACGGGCAAAGCAAATGTATATCATTACAATATGTAAAGTGAACAGGGGAAATCAACACAAAACCAACCGGAAAATGATGAAACACAAAAGCAGTCAAGGAAGTAAATCAATACAAAAACAAGCAATGAACACAGAGTAATAAAAGGGGAAAAACCAAATAGCATTATATTAAGTTGAGGCCAAAGGCAGCACCCTACTTCATCATCATCATCATCATCATCATCATCATTTGAACAGCCTCTTGTACGGGCAAGCAAAAACGCAAGACATCAAAATTCAATTAGAATGAAAAAAAGGAGAGGAAAATGAACACAAAGTGCACTGGAACTCAATATAAAAAGGAACACAAAGTGCAGTTGAACACAATGAGCATGGGGCCACCAATCGGAGAAGACCGGCTCAAAATGGAATAAAAAACAAACATAAAAAAGACACCCGTACACATCAACGTGCTCTAAGGGTATGGCAGCTTGTTAAAAAGCTGTGGCGCTGACGCTTGTATCATGCCCGCGAACCACGTATGCAAGTAATACACCAGCGGAGCAAACACAGCGACAATACAGATCGAAGTTGTCCCATGACATCATCATCATCATCATCATCATCATCATCATCGAATCACCATCGAGCTTGTTTTGTGTGAAAGTATATTATTATTATTACTCAAGTCTGTGGACAGCAACTGTTTCGCTCTGTTAGAGCTATTATCCTTATATTTATACTTCAAGTATTACAAAATCATTGAGTGCAGTGGCTTTGAATCGTTTTTATCCAAATCATCATCATCATAAAAAATCATAGTGTATAAGCATCATGTATAAAAAGACACTTGTACGGGCAAGTCAACATGCATATCATCAAACTAAAGTGATTGCGGAAATCAACTCAAAATAAATAATTGGACACAAAAGAAATACAACATTCGTATTGTTCTGAACAGGTGGTGATCAGGGAAATCAACTCAAACTCAACTCAAAACGAGTTTGTCAATGTCAATGATTCAATACAAAAGCAACAAAACATTGATGATATTATGTTGTATTGGACTAGAATAAAAAAATAATCGGAAAACACCCAGTACACAATTTACCGCCATGGGCATGTGCCTACTCAGTCTGGCGACACTGGGCAACAAACGAGTTCAACCGCAGCCTGTCACTGTATGATGCACGGCATCCTCTGAAACACGCGACGGCCCATCTAAGCAAACAAAATGAGAAACCTTGTCCTCAACAAGCCCATCTCCACTGAGTAGTACAGACTGCTGTTCCGCTCCACGAACAGCGAGGCTAAGGATTTTAGTAAAACCGGTACCTTCATTGGCTTCAAAGCTTTAATCACCGCCGACCATGTTGCTCCATCGGGTGATAATGGCCGCGTTCCTGATGGCACTTAGCACACAGGTCATAATCCTAGCATATGGAGGGACAAACACGTACAAAACACAAACACGTACAAAACAGCAATCAGATGCAGAATGGAGGCAGATCTGGACACTACTGGTGAGTAAAGAACCTGCAATCTGCAGGTGTTGCATGTTGTACAGAAGAAGCTACAGTCATGTGGATTAAAAATTCTATCGTGTACCTCCAGTCTTCTCTAGAAGAACTAAGAGAACTTGAGACAAGAAATACGAACAAAAATCTGGAAAACATACAGTGGCCAATAGGAATATGCAAACTTACGTCACACACTGGGCAATGGAAACGACTTCCAATAATTTCAGCCATGCAGGTATTGCAGCGGTAGCCGATTACATTGCACTGGCTTTGCAGCTCGATGAGCATGCACAGTGTAGCGTACTGCGCGTGCTGCAAAGTTGTAAACTCGAGATGATTCTTACGAAAGTACGCAAGAATTGAATCCCGACTCTCCATCACATTGCTGCTTTGCTGCTCGGCCACATCCTCCTGCATGGGTTTAAGGTTGGCAACCTTTTCTGAAGAAATCAGCGTGATGGTGAAGAATGCCTGGCCAAAAGGAACAAGAATAAAGCTAATGTAAGGAAATTTTGGCAGCAACGAATACAAGAAATCAGCGTAGGCGATAATACCAGCAACACCCAAGGAGCTAGTAAGGCCGTCATCACACTTCGTTCTCTGGCTTCCCCTTACGTCTGCGTCCACAGTGAAAAATCCAAAACGGGTAGTCGTGTCATCAAACAGGCACAGTTCTTGACCAGTACACGCGGTCACGTTTTGGAGAAATTTTGAAGATTCGCACGTACAAGGTGGCTTGGAAACAGACTGTGGGAGATACACCCTTTTATACAAAAAAGTGGCCCACTCCCTACCACGTCTACGTTTCCCGTTTCTTCTGCTCCCGCTTTCACTTCATACATGGATCATCATGACAACCGACCAAAACCTTATGTGGATGTAGACACAGCGCTTTGTACGGTAGTGTGATGACAGCGTAACAGCTGGGGCATAAACTAAGATACTAGTAGAAGGTTCAACAAGAAATGGTTTCAATAAAAGAGTAACACCCGAAGGCAATAATTTTACAAACTAATACCATTATGAACTTAGAAGTTGCGACTTTGGCGGTACTAGTCATGAAGTTGGTTGCTCCAACGAGGAGCACAAACTTCTTGTCGAACTTGACACACTGTGTATTGAGCAGGCAGTGGTGCTTTCTTTCAGGTTTGCCGAGCGGAAGGTGCTACGTGCTCCTCGTGTGCTCCGGATGGCAATCGTGAGTCAGTCAAGTGTCAAGTTCGGCAAGAAGCGTGTGCTCCTCGTTGGAGCAGCCAACTTTAGTACCATTATGACACACCAATATACTCTACAAAAATAAGTCACTTTTAAACATCGAATGTTACGTGCGGAAATTCATTTTAATATTCAGATACAAGGGCATACGTTTTCGATAGCCACCTCGCATAATCAAAGGACGACAGAGAGAGTGTCATAATTTGCAATCACCTGTGTCCCACAGATGAAGCTGTATATTCTGATATGCTTACAGTGTGTACGTCGCAAACTTTCCTCACCCAATGCCAGGCTTGCACTGTAAATAGAGAGAGTATTGCCACAACCTAAACTGTAGGACTGAAACGAACACAATTTCTCAGCAATCGAACGTTCTTGACTCTAACGAAAGAACCAACGAACAAATGTTCTTGATTGATAATTCATGCAAATCGTCAGAGTTCTGACAAGGGCATGAATACCCCGCCACATGATACAGGCAAAAAAGTATGCTTCAGGGAGGAAACCAACGCCATTGACATAAAAACCTTCAGCGACCTTGCTTCGCTTCTCAAAGTTGCGGTTAACTTTGGCCAATTGGCACCAAGCGGCGGAATCAGCGAAAAAAAATTGCCAGCGAAAATGAGTTGATTTAGAGCACTTACGCGAAACTTGATAACAACTTTTCGAGCAACTGCACTGTCCAGCATTGTCTTGTACCACGGTATTAGAAGCTGTTGTGTGAGTATCCTTTGCCCAGGTGGATCACAGTTGAAAATACAGTCTTCGATTTTCCCAGGAGGGCATGCCCAAAGGTTAACAGCGACAAAGCCTCGCTTTGCTACATAGTCCTTATAGGCGATAAGAAGCTCATAATACACTTGAGTACGCAACTGCTTTGGCCGGAAGAAATGGACGCTGTCCAGATACGAAAGGTATAAACGCCTACAATGAAAATACGCAAAGAACAGAGAGCAATAAAACACCCAGTACACAATTTACTGCCATGGGCATGTGCCTACTCAGTCTGGCGACACTGGGCAACAAACGAGTTCAACCGCCGCCTGTCACTGTATGATGCACGGCATCCTCTGAAACACGCGACGGCCCATCTAAGCAAACAAAATGATAACCTTGTCCTCAACAAGCCCATCTCCACTGAGTAGTACAGACTGCTGTTCCGCTCCACGAACAGCGAGGCTAAGGATTTTAGTAAAACCGGTACCTTCATTGGCTTCAAAGCTTTAATCACCGCCGACCACGTTGCTCCATCGGGTGATAATGGCCGCGTTCCTGATGGCACTTAGCACACAGGTCATAATCCTAGCATATGGAGGGACAAACACGTACAAAACACAAACACGTACAAAACAGCAATCAGATGCAGAATGGAGGCAGATCTGGACACTACTGGTGAGTAAAGAACCTGCAATCTGCAGGTGTTGCATGTTGTACAGAAGAAGCTACAGTCATGTGGATTAAAAATTCTATCGTGTACCTCCAGTCTTCTCTAGAAGAACTAAGAGAACTTGAGACAAGAAATACGAACAAAAATCTGGAAAACATACAGTTGCCAATAGGAATATGCAAACTTACGTCACACACTGGGCAATGGAAACGAATTCCAATAATTTCAGCCATGCAGGTATTGCAGCGGTAGCCGATTACATTGCACTGGCTTTGCAGCTCGATGAGCATGCACAGTGTAACGTACTGCGCGTGCCGCAAAGTTGTAAACTCGAGATGATTCTTACGAAAGTACGCAAGAATTGAATCCCGACTCTCCATCACATTGCTGCTTTGCTGCTCGGCCACATCCTCCTGCATGGGTTTAAGGTTGGCAACCTTTTCTGAAGAAATCAGCGTGATGGTGAAGAATGCCTGGCCAAAAGGAACAAGAATAAAGCTAATGTAAGGAAATTTTGGCAGCAACGAATACAAGAAATCAGCGTAGGCGATAATACCAGCAACACCCAAGGAGCTAGTAAGGCCGTCATCACACTTCGTTCTCTGGCTTCCCCTCACGTCTGCGTCCACAGTGAAAAATCCAAAACGGGTAGTCGTGTCATCAAACAGGCACAGTTCTTGACCAGTACACGCGGTCACGTTTTGGAGAAATTTGAAGATTCGCACGTACAAGGTGGCTTGGAAACAGACTGTGGGAGATACACCCTTTTATACAAAAAAGTGGCCCACTCCCTACCACGTCTACGTTTCCCGTTTCTTCTGCTCCCGCTTTCACTTCATACATGGATCATCATGACAACCGACCAAAACCTTATGTGGATGTAGACACAGCGCTTTGTACCGTAGTGTGATGACAGCGTAACAGCTGGGGCATAAACTAAGATACTAGTAGAAGGTTCAACAAGAAATGGTTTCAATAAAAGAGTAACACCCAAAGGCAATAATTTTACAAACTAATACCATTATGAACTTAGAAGTTGCGACTTTGGCGGTACTAGTCATGAAGTTGGTTGCTCCAACGAGGAGCACAAACTTCTTGTCGAACTTGACACACTGTGTATTGAGCAGGCAGTGGTGCTTTCTTTCAGGTTTGCCGAGCTGAAGGTGCTACGTGCTCCTCGTGTGCTCCGGATGGCAATCGTGAGTCAGTCAAGTGTCAAGTTCGGCAAGAAGCGTGTGCTCCTCGTTGGAGCAGCCAACTTTAGTACCATTATGACACACCAATATACTCTACAAAAATAAGTCACTTTTAAACATCGAATGTTACGTGCGGAAATTCATTTTAATATTCAGATACAAGGGCATACGTTTTCGATAGCCACCTCGCATAATCAAAGGACGACAGAGAGAGGGTCATAATTTGCAATCACCTGTGTCCCACAGATGAAGCTGTATATTCTGATATGCTTACAGTGTGTACGTCGCAAACTTTCCTCACGCAATGCCAGGCTTGCACTGTAAATAGAGAGAGTATTGCGACAACCTAAACTGAAGGACTGAAACGAACACAATTTCTCAGCAATCGAACGTTCTTGACTCTAACGAAAGAACCAACGAACAAATGTTCTTGATTGATAATTCATGCAAATCGTCAGAGTTCTGACAAGGGCATGAATACTCCGCCACATGATACAGGCAAAAAAGTATGCTTCAGGGAGGAAACCAACGCCATTGACATAAAAACCTTCAGCGACCTTGCTTCGCTTCTCAAAGTTGCGGTTAACTTTGGCCAATTGGCACCAAGCGGCGGAATCAGCGAAATAAAATTGCCAGCGAAAATGAGTTGATTTAGAGCACTTACGCGAAACTTGATAACAACTTTTCGAGCAACTGCACTGTCCAGCATTGTCTTGTACCACGGTATTAGAAGCTGTTGTGTGAGTATCCTTTGCCCAGGTGGATCACAGTTGAAAATACAGTCTTCGTTTTTCCCAGGAGGGCATGCCCAAAGGTTAACAGCGACAAAGCCTCGCTTTGCTACATAGTCCTTATAGGCGATAAGCAGCTCATAATACACTTGAGTACGCAACTGCTTTGGCCGGAAGAAATGGACACTGTCCAGATACGAAAGGTATAAACGCCTACAATGAAAATACGCAAAGAACAGAGAGCAATAAAACACCCAGTACACAATTTACCGCCATGGGCATGTGCCTACTCAGTCTGGCGACACTGGGCAACAAACGAGTTCAACCGCCGCCTGTCACTGTATGATGCACGGCATCCTCTGAAACACGCGACGGCCCATCTAAGCAAACAAAATGATAACCTTGTCCTCAACAAGCCCATCTCCACTGAGTAGTACAGACTGCTGTTCCGCTCCACGAACAGCGAGGCTAAGGATTTTAGTAAAACCGGTACCTTCATTGGCTTCAAAGCTTTAATCACCGCCGACCACGTTGCTCCATCGGGTGATAATGGCCGCGTTCCTGATGGCACTTAGCACACAGGTCATAATCCTAGCATATGGAGGGACAAACACGTACAAAACACAAACACGTACAAAACAGCAATCAGATGCAGAATGGAGGCAGATCTGGACACTACTGGTGAGTAAAGAACCTGCAATCTGCAGGTGTTGCATGTTGTACAGAAGAAGCTACAGTCATGTGGATTAAAAATTCTATCGTGTACCTCCAGTCTTCTCTAGAAGAACTAAGAGAACTTGAGACAAGAAATACGAACAAAAATCTGGAAAACATACAGTGGCCAATAGGAATATGCAAACTTACGTCACACACTGGGCAATGGAAACGAATTCCAATAATTTCAGCCATGCAGGTATTGCAGCGGTAGCCGATTACATTGCACTGGCTTTGCAGCTTGATGAGCATGCACAGTGTAACGT